GGGCAGGTGGGAAGGGGTGGGGGAAGAGTGGCAGAGGGGGTGGGGGAAGTGATGGTGACTACGGAGAGGCTGGGGGAGCGCAGGGCCTGCACCACTGTGCTAGGTGCCTCCCTTAATACACTAAGGGACTTGGGTGGGGGAGAGGGCTGCCTAGTGTAAGCCTGTGGTCATGCAGTTCGGGGTAATAGCATTCTCAGTACTACAGACGTTTTTCTCCACTCAGTTATTCTAGTTCCCTACCAGCGTAAAACCACTGGGGGGGGGTGCAAACTGGTGTTACTGGGTTGTCAGCCAAGTTCTTGGATGTATCTTGCAACATATTCAGCAACCTGTGTTTAGCCATGCCTTTGGCTTTGTATGGACAGCTCATCCTTCTAAACTCTCTTTTGTTCTTTTTTTCTATTTTAATTAAACTCATTTGAGATGCGATGCCCAGGACTGAACGTGTTATTTTAGGGGAGGCTATTTGGAACCAGTTTTCTTTGTCTTCATTTTATTTATCATTGGCAATTTTAATAGGCAACATACTGATTCATTATGAAGGCAAAATGAAATGGCAGAGCATAAATCCAGAAGAACTGCTGTCTGTGGTATAGAAAACCTTGACTACCTCTAATAGAAAGTGGATATTCTCTAATAGTCCTACAGACCTTCATTATGGGGTAGGAAGAGTATAAAACGCATCAGGTTTTTTTTTGGTTTTTTTTTTTTAGTGATTTTTTTTTTTTTTTTCATTTAACCAAGAACCAGGGAAGATTCATTTGATCTTTAAATTGACTTATTTAGATCTGTAATATTTGTAACTTGAAAGCTTCATGTTCATCAAAATAAAAGCAAGGTTATTCCTGTGACTGTTCTTTAAGCTTTGTGGGGAAAGAGAACCACTGTAGTTATGATTCTTTATTTCTCATCTGCTACTCTGTAGCTTTATCTGTATAATGTTAGGGGTGTCAGATATCCAGCCCACGGGGGTATATGGTGCAGCCCATGCATGGGTTGCTAGACCAATCTTCGTGTGCTGGCCCGGCCCAGCCCAGCCCAGCCCAGCCCAGCCCAGCCCTGCAGCATGTGGGCCAGACCTGGCACTGCGCTCTGCAGGTAGTACAGGGGTTAATCTGGCGCACATGCTGCGTATGTGCTCTGTTGGACTGGTCCTGCATGCAGGCTCTGGTGCCAGTCTGCACTGGTCCATACCAGAATCAATGGAAAGAACCAATCTGGCAGGGCTCTGCATGCAACGCATGTCTCGTGTTGGCCCTTTGTGCTCCCTAGCCCTGCGTGACATGCATAGCATCTACCAGCCTCAGGGCTGCACATGACATTGTGTCTGGTCCCATTCTGGCCTGCAGACTGGCCTGGTGACCCTCTGGGGGGGTCAAATGAGTTGGACAGCCCTGGTGCAATGAATACTATATAGCCTGATATTTCTCTTTGTGCTTCTGGTAGGATCTTGGTCAGTTAAACTGAAGTGAAACTTTTTTTCTCCTTGAGGTTAAGATCCAGTAGAGAGAATATACATGGAGTGCAAAATGATCTTCAAAGAGAGTTCCAATACACATTTTACTTTCTGAGCAGTAAAGAGAATTTATGACACACAAATTTAATCACAGTGCTCAGAAAACTTAATGACCTCCGTGTTACTGACCTAATAGTATTTTCATAGTACTCAAATCTTCAGTGAAGGACTGCGGTTATGTTGTTCAAAACTCCAAAATTTATATCTTGTTACTTTGATTTGCTATTGCATTCATATTCTTCTCTAAATAGGTATTTTTTTAGAACCTACTTATTTTTAATTTGGAGGTGAACTGACTGAAGCGTGTTTTGTTCGAGGGTTGCCATCGCAAAATTATTTCAAATGATAGAGTGGAGGATGAGTGAATTGAGTGGGTAGTGCCCAATTTAATGACGGCATGAACAGCATCTAAATCCACTGGGGCCAAAGTGGATTGCAGCTGTTGGGAAAGGGAGGTGGGAGGGGAAGTACAAGGCTTTCTTTCTCCATCACTTTGGCATCTTGCAAATTTTATAGTCTCTAATTTTGCTTCCTCTTGGATGTTTCCATGGAGGCAGTGAACTATATACTACAGAAAATGATGGGTGTGTGTGTGGGGGGCAATCTCTCAAGTGCAGCCCACCCCAAGAACTCCAAAATGGTTTCAGTCACCACCTTAATGATCCATAATATGTTTAAAAATAAGCTTCAGAGTCCTATGT